TTCACATAAGTTAGTAGAAACGAGCTGGCTAAATATGAAAGATAGACGAGAGCTGCATAGCGCATGCTTTTATCATTAGGTTGTAACTATGAAAACTCCTTCGAGTTTATATAATAAAAATAACCCTTCGCCAAGATGCACACAATGTAAACATAAGGTCTAAAACCACGATCACACCACCAGCTCATCATACTGCTCTATTTGAAAGATCTTTTTCTTATAACATTTCCAAAATATATAACGCTGTCCCTTAATACATGAAATCCAAATCGCTATATAATTTTTCAAAATGGTACTTCCATTTTCTGAGATCTCGGTACAATAATTAATAACATCGAATATCTAAATGTTTTTTGTTTCTATGCACATACCTATATTACATATATATACTAAGTGACATATAAATCCGAACACCCAGTTTAAATGGTTTTATTTTAATAAACGTTGGTGAATGTATTTATCTTACTGTAAATAACAAGTGAAAACATTTTCAGCCTTATCAGTTGGACATTCCGGTTTTTATACTGCTTTTTTTTTAATTCACTAACGCTCTAAAAATGAATATTTCAGCCGCAGTAAAGAATCAACGTTGGCGGATTTTGGTTCTTGACATCCTTTACGATCGGTTACGATGCCTAGAGTACGGAGACCTGTACGATTTCGTCAACTTAGTGAGTTTGATAGGGGCCGTATAGTGGGACCTCGGGAAGCTGGACTTTCTTTTCCGGCAATTGCAGTTAGAGTGCAAAGAAGTGTAGACACTGTGGTTAGGTGTTGTCAGGCATGGCTTCGAGAAGGCCGTACGCAAAGAGCAAGGGGCACTGGACGCCGCCGTAGAACAACAGACCGTGAAGATCGCCGCCTAAGATTATTGGCCTTAAGGGACCGTTTCTCCACTACCAGGTCCATTGCAAATGAATGGTTTGCAGAACACGGAAGACCTGTTGGCATGCGAAGTGTTTACCGACGAATGAGAAGTTTTGGCTTGTTTTCATACCGGCCATACTGGGTCCTCCTTTTAACTCGAGAACACCGACGTAATCGCCTTGAGTGGTGCAGACAACGGTCACTCTGGGATCATGAATGGAACAGTATTGTCTTTAGTGACGAGTCTCGATTTTGTTTAGGCATGCACGATGGTCGTGCCAGGGTTAGAAGGCGACGTGGTGAAAGGAGGAATCCACAGTTTTTTGTTGAAAGACATGTTCATCACACTGTTGGAGTTATGGTTTGGGGTGCTATAGCTTATGGTTCCAGGTCACCTTTAATCTTCATCAGAGGTAACATGAACGCGCAGCGTTATATCCACGAAGTTCTAGAACCCCATCTTATACCCTATCTTGACACCCTGGCAGATCCAACTTTCCAACAAGATAATGCCCGACCACATGTTGCAAGAGTTACAATATACTTCTTTCAACATAATGATGTCACATTGTTACCATGGCCACCAAGATCTCCCGACTTATCCCCAATTGAGCACGTGTGGGATATGATGGGTAGGAGATTGCTCAATTTGCAACGTCCTCCTCAGACTCTAGAAGCACTTCGAGAGGAGTTGGTGATTGCCTGGAATGAGATACCACATGAGGACATTGACCACCTGATCAGAAGCATGCCTAGGCGCGTTGGAGAATGCGTAGCACATCAGGGTGCATCCACACATTATTAAAGGTCAAAGGGCTTTAGCAGTGCAATCATTTTGAAATTTTTATCATTTACTTATTATGCTTCATTAAGTACTTATACAAAATTTTATTAAAATAAAACCATTTAAACTGGGTGTTCGGATTTATATGTCATTTAGTATATGATTATACCTACCTTACATTGTATGCTTTTCCCTAATTTCTTTATGCTTTTGTTTGTATTCTGTGATTTTTTTCATTTCTTCTATATATATTAGTTATTCATGCTTTCAAAAAGGCTATTGTTTGAATATTACTACGGTGACATATACTACTCGTATATCTTTACTTTTAAGCTTTTAAGTTAGTTAAGTAGGTTTTGTTAGGTTAAGTGGAAGACCAGCCATTCCTTTATAGGAATGAAAGCTGAACTTCGCCTTTTCCAAGTATCACTTCCATATCTCTGTACCCTGGTACCAACGAATAAAGATGATTATTATTATTATTACAATATTGAAATCCTGGTTAATGACCGTTTTTGACGTTGCTTGTACCGAAAGAGGATTTCAACGTTGTGAGTAATTTTTTATTAATATTTTAATGGATGTTTTAGTTCTTCCATTATTTATGTATGATTCCCGAAGAAAAAAAAATATTTTCGAATGTTTGACATAAACACACAATCTTTCTTTTTGGCTTTTTGAACTTTTTATTTTGCTTATCGAAAGTTTTCGCTAATACTTTCCTTGTCAGCGGCATAGGAAGTAAAAATAATATCGGTATGTTTAGCCAAGTTGGATAAACCTGGTCAAGTGAATGTGGTCTATACAGGTTTTTCTAAAGCTGTTGACAAGATAGATCACGTTATTCTACTGAGCAAATGACTAATTTTGGATTTGATAATTTAACGGTCAATTTCTTTAAATTATATATGTTAATATGTTTTTTATAATGGTTTTGTAACTCATGAATATTTAGCAGCTTCAGGTGTACCGCAAGGTTCCAACTTAGGTCTCCTTCGATTTTTACTGTACATAAACGATCTGCCTGTTTTAATTTATTATATGCTGATGATCTGAAAATCTTCGAAACAGTTAATGACATCTCAAATCGCCGTATTCTATAGCAGAACCTTGTTTCTATCCATGATTGTTGTCTAGCTAACAAGCTGCAATTGAATGTATCTAAATGCAAAATTCTAAGATTTTCCAAGAAAAACGCAGATAATTGAACATGAATTTAAGGTTGCGAATCATTATCTCTCAATAGTTGATCATATTAAGGATCTGGGTGTATAATTTGATCAAAAACCAGCCTTTAACCATCATAGCAACTTAAAAATATCAGATGCATTCAAATTCTATGGATTTATAGTCAGAAACCGTAAAGTGTTCGGTGATATAAATGTTTTTAAAAATTTATAATGAGCGTATCCCAAATAGCAAAGTAGTGCTATAAGCTTTTGGTAAAAGAACCGTTCAGCGATAAAAGCTCTCTATTGTTGTTGCCTGAACACCAAAATGCTGGCTTAATGTTGTGTTGCTTTCTGCACCATATTTGCTCTAAAATGTGGTGTTCAAAATATTCTTATATCATAGTTATACAACACCTTATAGGACAAATTTTTAACGGTTGCATAAACGTTTATACAACTATTTTATACGGCATATTTCCACGTTAGTTAAAATGGTTGTGTTGTGGTATCCATGGTAACGTTCATAAAACAAACCAGAGCCTTGTTGTTTTACTGTGCAAATTTACTACTTTAGCCAACAAATTACTCCTAACGGAAGCACTTATACAACTGTTGTTTAGTAACTGTTAAAGGCTGTACATATGCAACAATATTACTACTTTTGTAGTATAAAACTGCTGTGCTCGGCATATATTTGTTGCTAAATATGTTGCTATACAACTTCAACATTACCTAACTTTCTGCTGTCATATTTTTGTTAAAATGCCATAACCAATCTTTTAAGACAAACAACGCATGCATATTGGTTCAAAAGGTTTTGTCAATTGTTCAAACAGAAGATATAAATTCTGGGTAAATCATTCGACTCTGTCGGTATTTCATTTCAGACATTTGTCAAATTGTTGTATAACACCTGCAGGCAACACCAAAATGTTCTAATAAACTAAAGACAACATGGACGATGCCATGATTAAACACAACCACCCGCCATATTGGGCAAACATTTATTCCTCTATTTAATATTAAATAATTTTTTATTAAATTACAGATAAAAGTGATAAACATGAGTGTAATTGCGTCTAAATATAGGATTTGTGGAAGATTTAACGCAGATAAGTTCAGTTTTCCATCTTAAAAATCTAGAAATACTTTTGATCATTATTAAAATATGAATCAAATACGAAGTCCGTAGAAATTCCGTAACTACTTTGCACGATGATCACAATAAAATTTGCTGCGCAAGTAATTCAATAGCCCTGTATCACAGAGTAGAAGTTTATCATATACCTGTGTATGAAATTCACAATGGCCGATATGTAAGTAAACAAGATGACTGTAATGTGTTAGTTATATATTCTTCACTTCGTCTATACAATACATAAGAAATAGTTTGATTGCAATAAAGTAGAATCACGTAACAGAATAGTTGTATAGTTGACAAAAACTGAATCTTGCACTGACGCAAACGTCCTATAGCGGCTGCAAGAGGCTTACACTTTTGTTGTATAACTGTTGCCTGCACTGACTGAAGTGTCCTACTAGATGTGCCCTTTCCGCTTGTGTAGCTGTTCTAAGAGGGTTTTGCCAATGTTTTTATAGTATACAATGCTGTGTAAGGAATACTGCATAATGATTCTTGCAACTCAAATAGGAGTGATAATTGGTAGTTGGGATGTTCGCTTTAGGTTTGAATATGCTTATTTAGTTTGGAAGCCGTCCTATATAACTTATAAGACTTCCTTAGAACAGGTACAAAGGCTTTTTATCAAATATCTATGTTTAAAATGTGGTGGTTCATATCCTATAACGGGTATCTCTGAGACTCATCTGTGTTATAGGTTTGGTTTGTCACTCCAATCTTCTTTAATACTTTTATATAAACTAGTGCATAACAAATACATTATGTAATTGCTTCTTTTTTATTTCCTTTAGATATGTGGATATATTCTTTTTTTGTGGGTTCGTAGTTTGTCCTATAAATGGAATGAATTTCTGTTAGGCTATGAAGCATTGTCTTTATAATTATCTAGGTGAGAAAAAACTGTTGTATCGATGAGTTAAAAATATCTAAGGGCGCCAATGTATGTTCCAGACGGATCAACTATTAGTTTTTTCGTCTTCCCTACAGTTTAATGATCTCCAGCCGTGTTACCGCCGGGTTCGAGACTCGACCTTACCCTCGTCACTTGTTCCTAGTCTGGAAAGTAGGAACACATGTTGGATTACATGACGAATTGGCCACGTTTGATACGCCAGACTGACGCACGTGTGAAAATATGTAATGTGGATGTTGGTGTTGTTACTAGGGAGTTGGTTATCTTCAAATAAATTATGGTTTAAAAAACTAAGACCATGTTGTCATACATTTCATTTTCGTTCAGTTTTTTTTTTATTATTTAATCATCATTACAGTCTTTATTGAATATATTATTGAAAACTTCTCACCACGGATTTATAGAAAAAACACTGATTAAAATAAAAAAAACTTTCAGAGACAATTATCGCAACAAGAATGCCTTGCTGAGTTACTGTCTGTTTTCGGCAACGAAGTGCTACATCAGTCGACAATTTCCCGTTGGTATGGAGAATTCAAACGTGGACATTTTTATTCTCCAATCAAGAGTTAACGGATATTCATTTTGTGTATGGCTTTGTAAATGGAAACGCAGCAACCAGAGAATACGCACGAAGATTTCCAAACAGACGACATCCAACTCGCTCAGTATTTGTAAGAGTGCATCGCCAAATAATTGAAAATGGTTTTGGAAATCTCCAAAGGGATCAAAACATAAATGTTCGTCAGCGCAGATTTACCCGTATGATTCTGCGTGAGTTTGATAGAGATTCGACCACAAGTGTTAGGAGAGTTTCTGGAGCCTTGGGAATTTCAGCAACCCATGTTCACCGTGTTCTTAGAAATGACCATAGACGTCCTTACCATTTGCAACCTGTGCAAGGACTACAGCCAGGGGACGGAGAACGAAGAATCACATTTTGTCAGTGGATTCTTGATAGAACTGATAATAATAGGGAGATTTTAAGTAACGTTTTATGGACCGATGAGTCATGCTTCACTAGACGTGGAGTGGTAAATTTTCATAATCAACATATTTGGTCGCATGAAAATCCGCATGCAGTTCGGGAAAGAAATTTTCAGCATGAATTTAGTGTGAACGTGTGGATTGGTATCTACCGTAATCGACTATTTGGACCCTACCTTTTGCCTGCAAGGTTAAATGCTGCGACTTTCTTGGAATTTTTAAAGGCTGAACATGCAAATATGTGGGATGATGTTATGTTAGATTTAAGAAGATTGGCCTGGTTCCAGCTTGATGGTTGTCCAGCTCATTATTCGAGAATAGTTAGAAACTGGCTGGATGAAAATTATCCAGAAAGATGGATCGTCCGTGGAGGACCAGTCGCCTGGCCCTCACGATCCCCTGACCTAAATCCATTAGATTTCTTTGTGTGGGGATTTCTAAAAGAAAAAGTGTACCAGACTCCCGTAACAACAAGAGATGTCCTAATTGACAGAATCAGGAATGCATGTGATGAAATAAGGCCTTATTTGAATAATGCTATACCACGTTCGATCATTCGTAGATGTGAATTGTGTATTGAACAATTGGTTTTACATTTCGAGCAACTACTTTAGATTTTGTATGTTTGTCCTAACTATCCAATAGCATTTTAATTGTAAATAACTAATTTAATTTGTTAAAAATAATATTGGAAAATTAAACAAATTAATATTCTGTTTTTTGTGTTTATTTGGAGTTAGGAATTATTGCTGTATTTAAAAACACAATCTAAACGATCATCTTAATTACTTGTAATGCCCAAATCGAAAATGTAAAAAAAATATTATTTTCCCATAAATAATTAAAAATGCATCGAACCTTAAAAATCGAAATATCTCAAAAACGGCTAACTATAACGAAAACTCACAAGAGAGCTTTTTTATGCAGAAAAGTGCGAGGAATCAGTTCTTTTATTCAAAAAGCAAAAAATTGCACTAAGAAAAAATTTTCGGTCATTTTAATACACTACAGGAACAGTAGAGAGCGCCCTCTAGCGGCTACAGTAAAACTATGCGCATGGTTCGTTTCATCGTACCAAAAAACCCTTGTATACCGATTTTCACTGTTATACATCAAATATTGCTCGAAATATTTAAAAAAAAAACTATTTTAGAAAGTAAATTTAAACACCCTGTATTTCGGAAGCCACGCATTTTTCGACCCATGTTTATATAGACTTTATGCATTAATTTTAAAAGTTCTAATCTTAAATTTATGCAACAATAAACTGAAACACCCTGTATAGCAGACACGGGCTGAAAAACCGACATAAATGAGACCTTCTAATATTAAGAAGCTACTGATCTGAGTGATACCATGCAGCTGTTAGATATACTATTTTTCCTACTTCTGCCATCGAAAAAGAAATTTGATAGAAATGCTTCGTGTAGTTTGAAACCTCCAAGGAAGGCTTAGGAAGTATAGAGTCAATCTACTTGACGCCATATTTTGCATTTGTACAACAGTGAATATGTATTAAATTTTCCCAAAATCTGAAAATACATTCAGAGTTATAAGGATTTTCAGACAGACCCAAGGCAGACAGATAATCGGAAATGGGAGACTTGATTTTAAGATTTCTCACTGTTGCTATATTTCTCTTTCCTGTTGATGTGGAACGTAAATCTGACACTACTCTGCTATCACAATAATCAGATATCACTATCAGTCTACTAGCTGAATATTGGCTTCCTGGCAATGTTTTCCTCACGAAATCTCTTTCAACAAATCTATACTAAGTGACATATAAATCCGAACACCCAGTTTAAATGGTTTTATTTTAATAAAAGTTGGTGAATGTATTTATATTACTGTAAATAACAAGTGAAAAATTTTTCAGCCTTATCAGTTGGACATTCCGGTTTTTATACTGCTTTTTTTTAATTCACTAACGCTCTAAAAATGAATATTTCAGCCGCAGTAAAGAATCAACGTTGGCGGATTTTGGTTCTTGACATCCTTTACGATCGGTTACGATGCCTAGAGTACGGAGACCTGTACGATTTCGTCAACTTAGTGAGTTTGATAGGGGCCGTATAGTGGGACTTCGGGAAGCTGGACTTTGTTTTCGGGCAAATGCAGTTAGAGTGCAAAGAAGTGTAGACACTGTGGTTAGGTGTTGTCAGGCATGGCTTCGAGAAGGCCGTACGCAAAGAGCAAGGGGCACTGGACGCCACCGTAGAACAACAGACCGTGAAGATCGCCGCCTAAGATTATTGGCCTTAAGGGACCGTTTCTCCACTACCAGGTCCATTGCAAATGAATGATTTGCAGAACACGGAAGACCTATTGGCGTGCGAAGTGTTTACCGACGAATGAGAAGTTTTGGCTTGTTTTCATACCGGCCACACTGGGTCCTCCCTTTAACTCGAGAACACCGACGTAATCGCCTTGAGTGGTGCAGACAACGGTCACTCTGGGATTAGGAATGGAACAGTATTGTCTTTAATGACGAGTCTCGATTTTGTATAGGCATGCACGATGGTCGTGACAGGGTTAGAAGGCGACGTGGTGAAAGGGGGAATCCACAGTTTTTTGTTGAAAGACATGTTCATCATACTGTTGGAGTTATGGTTTGGGGTGCTATAGCTTATGGTTCCAGGTCACCTTTAATCTTTATCAGAGGTAACATGAACGCGCAGCGTTATATCCACGAAGTTCTAGAACCCCATCTTTTACCCTATCTTGACATCCTGGCAGATACAACTTTCCAACAAGATAATGCCCGACCACATGTTGCAAGAGTCACAATAGACTTCTTTCAACATAATGATGTCACATTGTTACCATGGCCACCAAGATCTCCCGACTTATCCCCAATTGAGCACGTGTGGGATATGATGGGTAGGAGATTGCTCAATTTGCAACGCCCTCCTCAGACTCTAGAAGCACTTCGAGAGGAATTGGTGGTTGCCTGGAATGAGATACCACAGGAGGACATTGACCACCTGATCAGAAGCATGCCTAGGCGCGTTGGAGAATGCGTAGCACATCAGGGTGCATCCACACATTATTAAAGGTCAAAGGGCTTTAAAGCAGTGCAATCATTTTGAAATTTTTATTGTTTACTTGTTATGCTTCATTAAGTACTTATACAAAATTTTATTAAAATAAAACCATTTAAACTGGGTGTTCGGATTTATATGTCACTTAGTATATAAAGCCGTTCCAAAGGAAGAACATAAGATCCTAAATGTACGATCGTACCCGAACGTGTTACTCAACAGTTGGAATTATAGGATACATCAACACGCATATCTCCCGAAGGATACACGGTCAAAGCTGCTAGCCACTTATTATGGATTTCGAAAAAGGGGACACTTGGCAGCGGAAACAAAAAGAATCACCAGCCAGAGGCGTAGGCATTCATAATAATCTTTATTTCCACAGGAACGTATAACATTATGGAAAACGACAGTAGTGCTCAGCAGTAGACGTACAAAAGTATAGATAGATAGTTTATTGTCCTTTTAGATCATTTTACATGATATGGCACTTGTCAGTGTCAAACTAAAAGTCGTATATCCGTCTGAGCAAATATACCGGAAAAATGCGTACAAATATAAAATATATAAGAACATTACCAACTACAGAAAATGATACAACATTCAATAAAGTTGAATCACATATAGGTACAGCGTAACAATCTAAGTTTCTATCTGATCAAAGGCCTTTTGAATGTCGGTATAAATGACATCCAAATGACCCTGGTCATCTAATACCTCAGAGATAGTTTGAGTCAGGCAGGTCAGATTTGTAACTGTTGATCTGCCAGCAACAAAACCATGCTGGTTAGGAGAAAAAGTACATTTGACATAGTTGGAAATGGTATTATAAATAATAACCTCAAAAATCTTTACAAAATTGCAAAGTATCGCAATCTGCCTATAGTTACAAATAACGGGTGATTTTTTAAGAGGTATAGGATTTGATTTTCAAAAAAAAAACACAAAAAATTTGTAAAAACCTTTAAATCTTTAGTTGAGTCGATAGAACGGTCAATATAATTTAATGTTTAAAGATTATTTCATGTAAATGTTGGCCGCGGCTCCGCTTTAGATGGCCCATGCGCAAGGTCCAATTTTGGCACACTCTCTCCAACATATCGGCCGGTATCTCACGAATAAATGCTTCAATATTGGCTTCCAGTGCGTCAATCGTTGCTGGTTTATCCCTGTAGACATTAGCCTTAACATGGCCCCACAAGAAATAGTCCAACGGCGTTAAATCACACGATC